TCAGCATATGAAGTTTGACACTAATTTAGGAAAAGTGAGGTGAAGGTCAAAGGAAAGATCAAGATCAAAAAATGTTGATGCAGTTGTATAGCTCTCATCAATGAAGTTTGATTACGCTATCCTGAATGGTTTCTTTAAAACTGAGCTAAACACTTATTTAAGATAAGTACGGTCAAGGTCAAAGGAAAGGTCAAGGTAAAAAATGTTGATTCAGTATGTATCAGCATATGAAGTTTGATTACACTATCGTGAATGGTTTCTTTAAAACTGAGCTAAACACTAATTTAAGAAAAGTGAGGTCAAAGTTAAAGGAAAGGTCAAGGTAAAAAAAATGTTGATGAAATTGAATACCTCTCATCAATGTGTATCAGCATATGAAGATTGATAAAAATATCTTGAATAGTTTCTTTGAAACTTAGTTTTGAACTGAGCTAAAAGCAAAGCGGAATGGAAGGACAGACAGAAGGTGGGAAGGACGGAAGACGGACATGACAAACTCTATATGCCCCAGCCATATTCATGGCAGGGCAGAAAAATTTCTAGTGTACTGAAATTCAAAACTGCAGTAATTGATAATTTGTTTGTTTTTTTTTTAATTTTAATTCAATATCAAAAAACATATACAAACTTTTTTGATAATTTATTCTATTCAAAGCAATAAGAAATGCATCTGTCTGCACTGCTTAAAATTGATAAGAAAGTTATGACATAACTAAAATAATGACCATGTCCACATTAAATTTAAAATATAATGAGTGACAATTCACTTCACCTTTTCTTTGGCTTTCATTCCATTGACTTTTCTTTCTTTAAAAAATTGTGCTAGTGTAGTACTCCATCTCTAAAAAATAACATATAAATGAAAGTTTATGGCACTCAATGAACTCTCTCATCCCTTCCTTTACTGTTCAAGAAAAAAAAATGCATACCACAAGCATAGTTTAAACTTGTAACTAGACTTGATATTTTCATACATAATGTCACCAACTTTATAAAGAAATGTGAATGCATTTCAAAGGTGAGCACATGTGAATTGAATTAAAAGTACCAGTATTGCGAGTATCTCGCAGTTATCTAACTTACAACCGCTCTTTAGCATGGGAGTCGAGGAAGCTCTAAATCTCACAAGATTTCTGGGGCATAACATTACAGTGGTGACAATGGAATGATTCGAACAATCATTATGCCCAAACTACAATGTATTGCCAAGAGTTGAACTCCAAATAGTAGATTGTCAAATAAGGAAAGTTTAGAGTATTTTATCAACTTTCAAAAGTAACGATTTTCATTTAGAATTTAATAAGAAAAGTCCGCTTAGTAAAAAGTATCGTAAAAAATGTAACATATAGGACTAGCTCCTCTCAAAAATTTATTAGGCTGGTTCAGCGCATGTTTAGCAAGATATTTCTCTAGGATTTCTTTCTTATCAGTCCTTATAAATTCCACAATGATCGATCATGCATTGCATTCAATAGTACACTGCCCCCATCCAACAGACGTTTTCTACTTCTGTGAAAGAGTTCCGCTAATTTCAGTAATCGCGATATCAAGTATTGTTGTTTATCCTTAAATGTATGTCAATAAAAAAAATTATTTCGAACAGATCAATGCTTAAATTTTGAGATTATCACCCTTGGTATGCTTTTTTGTTTTTTGTATGGATGAAAGATTTGTTTATTGACAGCTGCTTTTTCATTAAAAGTGGAACTCAAAAATTAACTTATCTTGTCATTGGTCATTTGCAAAATTATTTGTAAAAAACACCGATTGTACACACAAGTACTCTGAAGTTGATATTAAAAAGATTCTTGAGTTTCTGATTGACAATATCTATGTGGTTTTTAGAGACAAGGTCTTCCAAAAATCTCTTGGAATTTCCATAGGTACCAATTGTGCTCCGTTATTATCAAACCTATTTTTGTATTCATACAAAGCAGAATTTATTTAAAATCTTATACATGAGAAGAAGAAAATACATGCTGTCACCTTTAACATTTAGATATATTGACGAAGTACCATATTGTCACGTGTAAAGGCCGTAGTCTTGTAATAGACACACCCCAAAAGGATGTATTCGTTATAACAAAAGATTTGACCTATAGGAAAGAACTATTTTCCGGAAAAAATCACATTTAAAAATCAATGTTCTTTAGTTGTTTTCTATTGTATATTTGTCTAAATTTTTCAAATTTGCATTTTAAACATAATTTTTTTTATTTGCAACTTTGAAATTAACCTCCAAAGTTGGTCAAAACAGTATTTTGTCCGTTAAAGCACTAATTTTTACGTGAATTTTGGCATAGAAGTCCTTCAGGGCAGGCCTGTCCCTAAATTAAATTATGAAATTTTGATAGATTTTGATCTAAAGAATGATTTAAAACAAGATTTTTTTAGGGGCACCCCTGCCTTAGGGTCGAAATTCGTGAAAAACCTACAAAAAATACAAAAAACCTAGTTCTATCATACTGGATTACATTTATGGAGTGCATTTTCATAGTCACTATAGCGCAGAGAAATAGACCGCAGATTCTTAGAATGGACCTTTTTTTTATGTCCTGGTTCGAATCCACCTGTTGGCACACTTTTATTTTTTTTTTTTTTCAAATTTTACTCCTGTATAAACACGAACTTTAATATTTTATACAGGCTTTTGCATTTTACTTCCACTTTCTTCTTTAAATGTGTGTTTGCTGTTGATATAAAAGACATTTATGGAAATGCATATTATAAATTCTCTTTAACTAAACGCAATCAACCGGAACTGTATACCTCAGTGTAAGCACACTTTGTTCGAGGACACGAATCATTCACTTTGTGTTACTCGATACCGCAGGTGTCACAAAAAAAAAATCATGACGAGCAAAAATTGCTGTGTTTGTCTTTCAAGAACATCTCTGGTTAGTAGTAGTGTTGTGCCAGTGGGAGAGATACTGCGCTATGCAGAGTAGATGCAGTTCATTCCTCGGGAAAATTGAGTGCATTGGCGACATGTTATGTCAAAAATGCAGGAGGAAGGTTTACAGATTAGAAAAGAACGTGGTAAGGTCAGTTAAGGTTTTATCTCCCGTTGCCATTACCCAGGCATCAAGTAAGGACGCTCATACAAAGGATGTATATGTAAATACCGATGAAGGGTCATATGAACACACAGTTGACTAGAACTAAAACGATACATGAGAAACAAGAAACTACACACATGTGGCCTAAAGTCAGCGACCGGAAACAGATATCGATAAGCTTTTTCTAAAGAATGAAACCAATTTCGGCCCTACAAGTCAACGCATACCTAGAAGTGATCCTTTGGGGGGAAAATCCCGAGAAAAATGCAGCTCCTATGGATAAAATGCTACCCCAAAAATGCGGATGTACATGTATCTCTTATTTTCACAGCACAACTATTCCAAGAAAAAGTTAAAATATTCGTATTATTTCAAAAACAAAAGTAGGATACAACTTTTAATTTTCTTGGAAAATTCAGTTTACATATAAGCTTTATTTATAAGTATTTAAGTATAGTCTGTATTTTAATTGTTATTTGATTGGTATAAATTAAAAATTAAGTCCCTTATTTCTTTTTCCCTATAACCCTAAGCATTTTACGATAATCATATTGTGCTGAAAATGCATTCCAAGCAGGTGTCTGTGTTTACGTAAACAAATCCACAGGTACTTGTGGACAGGACCCCCCCCCCCCCCCCCCCGATATTCAACCCCGGGACTTGTTGGACATTTTTTTCACAAATTATATTTATTGCACTTATTCATCATGTGTATAATAGGAAAAAATCGTGAAAACCCCAAAATAATCGTTCCACATAAAAAATACCCCACTATACATTATAAGAGAGAAAGGTATTCCACTCCGGTTTGTTTACGTTGTACCCCCACTGGTCTTTCTGGGTTTAAAAACATGTTTTTATTTTATTTTAACCTAAAATGTCGGTTCACACTTTCTCTACATATATTTCTGTCTTAGTTCATGCTATCGGATTGGCTCTGCATCTCGTAAGAATCCCACAATTAATCCTTAAACAGCATTGCAGTCAGTGCATTGAAAAAATCCTTAGGTAAACCCAACGGAAGTGCATAGAGAATATATTACCTATTATGAAAACACCCGAGAGAGATTATTACGTCAGGGCAAAACTGTTTACTGCTTAGAGAAAAGTAACACTTAGAAAAGGATAATAAACAAGAATCTGATATACCATGAAAATCCTTAAGAGCAGTAAGGAAACACTTAAAACATTACTTTCCAAGAAACATGCATTTAATATTACATGTACATAATCAATTTATAAAATTTTAATTAGGGATGGAAATAAATAATATCCAAACATGAAATAGATGTGTCAGACTCTGTGGTATCTTTTATTTCAAGCTCACTGTGGTATATAAAGAGTTGATATATGAATGGAAATAACTATTGTTAATTGATAATACATCATCGATATATCTCAATGTCGAGTTCAAGACCACAGCAAGTGTTTTCTTCTTCTCATGTGTAAGATTTTGAATAAATTCTGCTTCATATGAATATAAAAAGAGGTCTGCTAGCCTAATAACAGGTTGCAATTGGTACCCATGGGAATTCTGACAGATTATTGGAAGACCTGGTCTCCAAAAACTACATATATATTGTCAATCAGAGACTCAAGCATCCAAAAACCTGTATTACTAAAGTATAGCTCAATATGATCACCAAAATCATCATTGCTTGACATAATATGCATGTATAATCTTTCTTTAATATTAAAAACATTTTAAAAGGCTCTAATTAAGCCATCATTCTGACATTTATTTATGCATGATTGTGTATACTTTATCAACAATCTCTGCCACTTTCACGCTGATATGGCTACTTTTTGTATTTCTCTTGTTGGAGAGCTATAATCTCCAAACTTGTGTATTGAGTATAATAACTTTCATCCTTTTCATATTGGCCTAGGTGAAAACAGATAATACTACAGGTCACTTACTCAGAAGGATTACTTGATTTTGTTGATCATGTTGAATGATGGTAGTCTGCACAGTAGCGCTAGCAGTTTCTTTTTTACCATTTCACTGTGAAAAAAAAAAAATGTGGAACTTATATATTAAAAATATTTACCACTACATAAGCATTGGTGATATGGTCATTGCTCTTTTTTGTAACAAATCAATTAAACACTGTACCTTTATATAGTACGAATTATATTGCATGTACTTTCCATCAATCTATTTAAAAAACATCAGATTAATTACCAATAGGTTCTTGAATTTTTAGTTTCTGTTGCATTGGGCCAAAATTACGAGAAAAACTTTGTTTTGAACAAGAATTTATATGTACAGTATTGTACTTGCACACTTAAATACCTACTATAATCAAGATTAAACAAGCATTCTGAGAGTATTGCATTAGCAATACTAGTCCCCTACCGGCAAGTGTAATCTGGTTCCCACTAAAAATTGAATTGCCACAATTCCATTAAAAATCATTGATTCAGAAGCATAACAAAATGCAAACGTGAACTGTAACTCATCAAGATACACTTACATACCAAAACTCAGCTCAATATCTGCAAGCGTTTAGAAAAAAGTGCGGAAAACAAATGGGACAGACTGAAAGAGGGACAGACAGACAGATGGACAGACTCAGAGGAAACCTATAATTCCCTCTGGTTTCACCGGTAGGGGACTAATAAAAAAGTGGGAAAAAGCCACCCTGTTAAGCCGTACTTTTGTCTCCCATGGTGAGCAGTGGAAAAAGGTCTTATGCTTGGATATGTTGTACATGTACTTTGTATCAATCTGTACATGCATAATCCATTCGCTAATGAAAGAGGCAATGTATTCGTAATGTAAACTTTTAAATGTAGTGGTAATGTGTACATTTTTTGCAGCGGTAATGAGTATGTAGCGGTAAATAATTACCATTTTGAAAATGTAGCGGTAATGATATTCACTTGGATAAAGAAATGGTCTATCTATTCCAATCACATTTTTTACAAGATAGGGCACTTCTTATTTGCTGTACATATAATTGTTTTCATTTTCACAGGGCTCTAACACTGCTTTTTGGGAATGGGGCTGGGCTGTAAAGATTGGGAAAATAAAGACCTTTTAGGAAATTTTGGAATAACCATTATACGTACTTTAAAATCATATATATTGGGTTTCCGGTCTTCGCTATCAACTAAATTTGTTTTATAAACAGAGGAATATGAATAGCAAGTTAAGTTATTACCGGTATATATCCAGCTATATTTTCTTTAATTTTTGGGAGAAATGACTATTGGGAAAATTAACACATTAATTGGGAAAAAAGGTACCTTTTTTGAATTGGGAGTGGGGCCCTTGAACGGCCCCAATTATAGACAATTGAGAGCCCTGTTTCATATTTGAGAGGTCGATTTATAACCTTCGTTCTTCATTTTTTTAAGCTTTGGGTGTGTGTTGATTACAACATATCAAACGCTTATCATATGTCAAGTGACTTATCTTTAAGTTATTGTCAAAGAAATTTCAAGTCTGTTAAAATCTTAATGTTTAAATAACTTGTGCCCTGTAGGAAATAAGATTTTGTAGCAAATAATCTTTACAACCGAGCTGCAATTTTCCCCAAGTTATAGGCTGAAAAAGGGGGTGCATATTTAAACCAATGCATATTACATTCGGCAAGATATGGTAACTGCTTGATTGTCACATTTCAGTTTGAAACATGTTACAAGTTTTATTTCAAAAAATGAAAATATTATTGAAAAAGTAAATACAAATACTCATTGACAAAAACGATCTACTAGGGATGGCAATTTCTAACTGGTTAACCGATTACTCGGTCGGAACGATGGCAATCGGTTAGAAAATCTGCAATCGATCAGTCGAAAAAATATTATAATATATGTAAAACTGAAGGCAATGTACTAAAATTCATTTTCAAAATAGAAATTCCTACCTAAACGTTTAATTTAGTGTTTTCATTTATTTATTTAGGCTGATTGGGAGGTCATTATGGCTCTCCAGATTACAATTGCGGGGTAATTGGTCAGTCTGAGATATGTTAATTACTGTTAAAACATCATGTCGTTACCCCGACTGTCCTCTAATTCTTTAATGATAATAATCACCGTTGAGCACCGTGAATTGGTGTGTGTGTATCTTTTGCAGTTATCTATCACATTAAATTATAATAAAAACATTGTAAATTAAGTGATACATTTTAGTCTTAGTTTTGATTATGGTGATAATGAAGAATGAACTTGTGTGACATCCGCTCTGGAGAATTATCCACGATATCTCAGGCATGGTTCATGGTTTTCTGAATTTTTTCTTGTCTATTGAAAAAAAATATGCGCATAGTTTTATGATCAAGACTAAAGACAAATAGAATGATTTTGACCTCTAACATCTTTTTTTGAGACTTCTTGTGCATAGGAATAGAGCTACTTGAAAAAAGTCAAGAAAATGACATTGTGTAGTTGATACGATTAACCGGTTAATCGGTCGGAACGTTTTGCGATTAACCGATTTGCAATTCTGTATTCGATTGCCATCCCTACTATCTACTAAGTGGTTAGTATGTAAATTGTAACTGGTTACAAAACTGGTTATGAAAATTTCAACTGGTTATGATCTTTCTCAATATTTAATAAACCAGTTAATCATTGCCATCCTTATTTTAAAGATACTTTGTGACAAGTTTGATTTAAACTGGTCCAGTAGTTCTTGAGAAGAAGTTGAAAAATGTGAAAAGTTTATGCATGACCCAAGCCCTTGCTCATGCAAAAACATACAAAAACAGATAGAAATATGTTACCATGGTTTCCTAGGTAATTCAGTTAACTTATATCAAAACCACACATTGTCATATATAAATAAGACTAAGAGTAAGTGCTTTTCAAGGGTCCAGATCAGCATTCAATCAGTATCAAAGTATCATGGTCTTTAGAGTTTTGTATATGCCTTTTGTCTTCAATGGTAACCTGTACTTATACATGTACTTAAATATGGCCATTGAGGAGACCACTTATAATTATAGGCATAAAGTAGACCAGTGAGAAAAATTGAGTAAATTGAATTAACCCTTGATATCAAGTATATACAGTATATAAATATACCATTCTAATGATCTTATTCACTATATGCATCAATACCCTGTATTATATTATACTGCATATCAAATTAAAACTTATTTATTGTGTCACAACTGAAGTGTTGCTGGACTGAAAGACATAAAGATGGACAATATGTGAATCCTATAGAGCTTTATCATTTCATGCAGGCCCTAATTAACATTCCATCAGTGATAAAGTACCTTGCACTTAGATTTTTATATTTACCTTTGTCTGCTAAAGCAACCTGTACTTATACATATGTTATACTTAAATATGGCCATTGAGGAGACCACTTATAATCGGGCATAAAGTAGACCACTGAGAAAAATTGTTGATATGAAGTATATACAGTATATAAATACACCATTCTAATGATCTCATTTACTGTATGCATCAATACCCTGTATAGTATTACACTGCATAAATTAAAACTTGTTTATTGTGTCACAACTGAAGTGTTAATTGCTGGCTGAAAGACATAAAGATGGACAATGTGAATCCTATATAGCTTTAACATTTCATGCAGGCCCTAATTAACATTCAATGAGTGATAAAGTACCTTGCACTTAAGATTTTTATATTTACCTTTTGTCTGCTATAGCAACCTAGTTCTTATACTTAAATATGGCCATTAAGGAAACTGCTGATAATTGGGCATAAAGTAAACCACATAGAAAAAAATTAATATACTTAATGGGAAAATTTTATTGTACTCACTGTTAATAGCAAGTACATTTATATGCATGTATTATATAATATATACAGTGGCGCCTTGTTGATCCGGACGCCTCTTTGGCTTAAGTTTGTTAAAAATAATATTGATTAATTTTGAACTGTTTCTTATTTAATTAATGCACAGTGTACTGGTGTAAGCTAAATTCTTCGAGCTTCATATTAGACGTGCAATTTAATTGGGGTAAATACACGCTAATTTTAGATGCTATTGTTTGTAGGTCACAGGTATCGCCTTCAACCTGACTGCATGGCAAATGTTTTTACTACAATTAACACTACTGCAAGATCAGGGGTTGAAATATACGGTAGCCCGACGCCCCGGGGCTAGTTATTTTAAGACTGGGGCTAGCTTATTTAAATGTAATGATAGTCTGTCGGACTAGCAGAACAGAAAAAAAATTCTCGTCAGTTTACTTTCATTTTTCTATGAAGACTGGTTTCTTTTGACTGAGAACTAGTTTAATTTGTTTCCGTCACCAAAACATTCAAAACTTTAACTTTTTGTTTTCATTTTGCATAAAAAAATTGTTGGGCTAGTTAGTTTGGGCTAGTAATTTTTTCCTGATCAGTAGCCCCTGGGCTAGTGGGATTTCCAGGAAAATTTCAACCCCTGAAGATAAGTGTGAAAAAGTCATTTCTTGAAAAATTACCGTCCGGATAAAAGAGTCATTTTTTAATGAACTATTACGTTTTGTAGTAGAAATCGACCGTCCGGATGCGGAACACATTTTTCTGGATTAACATGATTAATGAGACAGAATGACATGGAAAAAATCTATTCCCGAAAAATAGCATCTGGAAGGTGAAGTGTTCGGATAAACATGGCGCCACTGTATATACCATAAATGACTATGACCTATGGTACATATTGTCAGAGAAAAACAATTAATTAAAGCTGAACACATCTCATAAATAGGCATACACCATATTCGATTATATATCATCTACTATATCAGCACCGGGGTATACTCATCGCATTTGTTACACCTGACTGCTTTATTGTCACAGGTATCAGAGTGGAATGGTGACACATGCTTATGCTGGTTATCTTGCATTGCCTTTGTTTATTTATTTTATTGCAGTTGCGTGTACTTGTGTATGTTTGTATACTGCACTGACCTGTGCAACTGTTGTAAGTTTCATTGGCATCTTTCTCTCCTGCCGTACGTGAAAGAAGTACACTGTAATTTTTTGTCGCTACCGAGAGCTATGTAGCATACGTCAGTCTGTCTATACAGACAGGTGACAACAGATTACACTGAACAGTGACTAAGTGAGTGGCTTATATAGGGACCCTACAATATAGCGTGAATAAAGGAATATGGCGGAAAAATTCCTTTTACACAGTGTGTTCAGATTTAAAATCACTTACTTTAAAGCAAACTAATGGATTACATACCTTTTCCCATAATTCACTTCAAATTCCTACTCATCATGTACAGCTACACTTCAGAATCTCACATGTATACATTCTTTGACTTTTCTACAGGAACATTATTTCCTACAATGTACAATCACATTTTAAAACATTCAAATATTACTTCCAATTGGACATAATTGGTAGTTCACAAGCTAGAAAGCTCACTCAGTAGTTGGATTGATTGTTTAATTGTATGTCGTTTTACATCCTGTTTAAGAATTTTTCACTAAAATAGAGACGTCACCATATAATGGTCAACAATCTTTTCAACAGTTTTTTCTAAAGAGATTTCAGGCTGTCTTTACTGCAATTGTCATCAGTCTACATTACCACCCATTGTGGTATACTGGTCCCGATTTGTTTTCATAGGATTTAAGTTTTAGTTTGTGTGATAACTGGATATCAAAAAGTTTCAAAGTAGAGTGTCATGAGCTCATCAATGCTAATTATCAAAACACTACTTCTAGAAAATCAAAACATTTTAGTTAAATTAACCATTCAAAGTATTTTTTCAAAAGTAAAACAAAGGTCAAGGTCAAGTGAACTGTAATGTTGGTATTTTTCATTATAATTTATGACAAATTGTGCACATGCTAAATAGCATAGACTTACCTCTTTTAAATTATCAAAAATATGCTGAATATTGGCACTAACTTTTTTATAAGTAGGTCAAAGGTAAGTTCAAGGGTCACAAGATTGGCAACCATGGTATTTAAAAAAAGTCACAGTGCCAAGCAAAATATTAACCAAATATCAAAAACAATTAAACCTCTAACAATTCTCGAGATATAAGGTGTGACAGATGGACAGACAGACAGATGCCAGGTAAATTGATCCCTAGGTGTTGCACTGCTGTGCAGTCGACTCACAAAAAATGTTCTTACAGGGATAGACATTAACTTTCAGATTTTCTTGCCCTTCAGGCAAGTGATCTCAAACTTTGACTTGTCCGAACTCAATACTTGGTTGCCCAAAATAAGGAAAGAACTTCAGAAGAAATTTTTTATTACTGTAAATGTTATGACAAGAAAAAATGCGACCAAATACACTACCGTCAATTTGGCAAGGTGAGGTACCTGAAAAAATTTAAATGCTGCCTTTGTACATAAGTGTATACCACTGTCCTTGTAAATTTAACCTGTTAACACACACTGCCATATACATGTAGCAATAACCCTCCGTTTAATAAATAAATTTCATATTTTTAAAATTTTTTTTTGGTTGGATTCTTTTGTGAATTGTGATTTTCTGAGATAACTGTGAAACAACGCTGAAGGAAGATAGTTGCTACGTAACACACCTTGATCAGGATACATCGTGTTACACTGTACTTATATTCTTTGAGTAAATAAATAATCTAATGTCCAAATAAGAAGTTAAGAAAGATGTTAGACAGTGAATAGACGAATAGCATATTTACCAGGGAAAACGGAATAACGAACCCGATTTTCAAATGAAAGGTATAATCCAAAAATGCTGACAAGGAATTCCGAATGCAAAAACATTGTCAGTCAGGTACCTGGCGGAAATCAAGTCTTCAATTTATTTTTTTTTTATATAAATTAATGTAAACTAAATTAATATGTACATTTCTATGAAAAAAAAAATCACTTGCCCAATCAGACAAGTACGTCGCAAGATTAACTTGCCTGAACTGAGAATTTACTTGTCCTGGGCAATCGGACAACCATTAATGTCGATCCCTGTGACTTATTTATCATTGGAATGACTAGTAAACACCAAACTGAACTTAACCTGCTTAAGTGAGCCAGTAGTGCCCAGTACAGAGCAACAAGTGCTGTGAACAGCGAGTGAAGTGTGACCGATTGATTGAGTGTTGTTTTATGTCCCATTCGAGAATTATTTCACTCATAAAGAGTGAAGGGTTAAATAATTACAATAAAATGTAAGGAGGCAAGTCTGCCTCACCATAACCTGGTTCTTTGTGGCCCTATTTTTAACCTTCATACCCATCTCCACGGGGAATTCATTTCCTCCTCCCCCCCCCCCCTCCCCCAACAATCAAGTCATAACTCCATAAGCAGCCAAAGGCTGTAATGGGCAGCTAGTTCATTAACAGCTAGGGCTATCAGGAATTCAAAGTCACTGAAGTTCTTTTGGTTTTTATGATACTATCAAACTATCAGTCTATCACTGAGTATCTGCATGCTTTAAAAGTTAGTATTTACCCCTGATTTCCTTTAATTAAAGCTTTTGTGTCTATTTTCTGCTAACAATTTATTTACAGTTTATAACTAATAAAGCAGCAAATATACCTTACCCCATATTGCAGATTCTCTTCATCCAAGTAATTGATGTACATTGTACTTAATCTCTTCATCTGTTCATCTGGATCCTTTCCCTGCATTCAGACAGTACCAGTAACTGTTATATATGGATATATTTCCTTGTCAAAGCTGTCACTTTTTAGGCACAATTGCTAAGTTTGCATCTTTATCAGCATTATTAATGAAATGACAAATTCCATCAGACACACCTGCAAAAATGAAAACAAAATCTATTAATTTACATATAATCATGTCCATATTCTCTTGACTTCATTAGGCCAAACAAAAAATATGTGTGGTTCCGGTTACACCTCCAAAAAAATTAGGGTAGGTAGGTAGGGATTTTTTTTTTTTTTTTTTTTTTTTTTTTTTTTTTTTTTTTACAAAATTATTTTCTTAATTTCTCTAAATAATACCTATCACTGCTTTGCAAGTAGCATTCAGATGTGGTGTGATAATATACTAGTCAACATTGGTAGGGGACACCTACATGCTAGCTTGCTTAGGATTTAACACTATTAAAAACTTGCACTATGTGTTGAAATGATGTTTTGCAAGGAGGCCGCCATTGCTGAAACTAAAACTAATATCGGAGCCAATGATGGAAATCGGAGAAAATTCTAGAAAAAATATGAAAATTGCCGGAAAAAAAGTTTAGGGTCTGGGGTATAAAATAGGGACGGTCGGGTAACCGGAACCACACATATTTTTTTTTTTTGGCCTTATTATATAATATATTGAACTGTTTTATACTGCACTGCAAATATAAAGGGCTGGGATAATACACTTTCGTCTAATATTCTATATCTAAATAAATATACTATATTAGGTATCACAATATTTATGCAACAATACAGATCACAATATTTTTAATCGGTTATAATTTTTTTCATTTTATATTAAAATGAGACAAAGTTTGACACCATGCATATCCAAAGTCTCTAAAAATTTACAATTTTAGTCATGTATATGTGTTATGCAAGGGTGTATCTGTCAGTATTTCCAAAATTTATCAAGCATGACATTTAAATTGATACAAATATTTTGATTTCAGCTTTTCTTTTTCATGAAGTTCTACTTAAATATTCTTTGATAATTTTTAAATCAAAATAAAATCAAAAACTTTTAATTTCTTCATTTTATCTGCTTGGAAAATAATTATTTTTTTCTTTTGTATTTGTACGAGTATTTAGTTTCAAACTAGTTCTACATGTATATTAGCTAATCAGTGAAAATCTATATGTTTGATTTACTTCAGTTTACATGCCTGTGTGTGCATTATATTACAAATCATGGGATCTGTGCTTGTAGGTGCACTCAATGTTTTAAAGTTATTCATAATTTGAGAATTATTGTCTCTTTTTTTATTGTCAGTATATTTAAACCAATATTTTTTGGTTTTACAAAATAATATGAATTTTCTTTTTTTAAAAGAGATGATGCGAATTATAATTTCAATTTTAATTTTGTTTATATATTATTGCTGTGATCTCAATAACCTAGATAGAACGTTCTAATCATTAAAATGATATTGTCCTATGGACCTGGTTTAACGATAGATTTCGTTCAGTGTATTGGCAATGTAGCAAAATAAGCAAGTTCGATAACTCGAACTGACTGCATTTTCTGTGAACAATCCAGAGAGTTCCGAATTCAACATGGCGTGTAAATTTGAAGTGAGGAAAAAAGGTTGAGAAAATGAGTTGAATTTTCTTATTTATATGGATTATTTTTTAGGCTAAAAGGCATATAAAATCTCAGAAAGGTTTGTTATGATTAATTTGATAGCTATTTTCAGTGCAATTTTTTTTGTATTCTTCAAAATCATTTCTGAGCAGATCCTTTCCAATATGCTACATTGCTAGTATATGGGACATATAAACTGTGGTGATCGAGGGCTTGTTCCGAGACACAGTTAGATTGTTCTAACTAGCAATAACCCAACACATGTATCTTGTAAGTCGAACACATGTATTTCGCAAATTCAGTAAATAATTCTAAAAAAGAAGAAATCTTGTAAAAAGGTATTCCATAGAGAAAATTACCCAGAATACGTTGTAGCATAACAAACACTGACATATACTCGAACAAAACTTAAGTGTGAAAAATAATCAGATAATGGGTCAAAATCACACCAGTGACCACCTACCCTAATCAACTGTTATCCACAAAAAAAAATTATATACTTATATGTCAATCTGCTTCCAAAATTACATTTTTTCCAAGATCTTACAAAATTATTTTTACAGTATGTCTCTTCAAATATTTGTTTTCCTGCTTAATAGTACTGATCATGCTGATCAGATGATAATGGATGGGTGATATTAAGAGAGTATGCCCTCAAAAACTTTTAGTCCCAGACCTATGAACCAGTGAAACATTTTGAAAATGGTTATCATGGGTCCAAAGGACCCCCCTTAAGGAGGTTGGATCCTGACATCAAAAGTAATGAGAATTTTTTATCAAGTATATTTTTAGAATTTATACACATAGCTTAATTAAAAATCAAAACAGAAAATTGGGGTCAATGCGTTTCTTTTGGCGCTACAGAGCATTTAGTTTGACCTTTTTGCACTGTAAAAACGTCTTACACATAAATCAATTTTTTAAGTTTTTCCTCCGATATTTTTTATTCAAATAAGTTATGGGAACAAACACAGTTTTATATCATCTTGAATAGACGCATTAAAATTTTTGACACCGAAAAAAAAATTTAAATAACTCTGCACGTTCAATTATTTGACCTTTCTGCACTCAAAAAATTTCATTTTGCTAGCATTACAAATTTAACAAGCAAAAAACTCATTTTAAAGTAATGACATTTTACTGAATTTAAGAAGAATGGTTAAAAGTATCTTGTATATTCAGAAAAGAAAGTTAAAAGTGGGGGTCTGTGATGTTAATTTTTAAACATTAGTAAAATAGTGCTAATTTTGAGCTTAAATTCGGGCTATTTTTTTTCTTGATTTTCACAATATATTTGATTTATTGATCAAATATGATGATTGAATTCATGACAGTTTATTAAATATATAATTTAGGACCAGTATAAAACAGTTCACTGCTCAAAAAAATTCTGTCTGCAGACTGCATGTAAAAATAGGAATCCAAACTAAACATACTTTAAATACTTCGAAAGAGAAAAAATGACCATTTTCTTCTAAAAAACCTTCCGCCACAAAATATAGTTCCTCACTTAATGCTTTTGGTATGGAATTTAATCATGGAGTTTTAACTGAATATAGTTTATTTGGCATTGTAGAATCCAAATTTCTTGTATGAATTAAAACATTACGCAGATTTTTTCAAATATAGGTTAAAATAAAAAACTGCTCAAAAGCTCAGGAGTGAACCTCGTTAATGACAACAAACATGACAAAATCAGTGCATCCAAATCCAAGGGTCATATATTAGATATTACAGAGGAAATTCTGGTGAAATTTAAAAAGTTATTGCACGAAAGAGCAAATGCTTTATTGTTGCTGTGAGTAGTTTTATAATTTTACTATCAATTGTCCAAGTAAGACTACATGATTTTGTGTCATAAATATAATATATTGTCAACTGTGCACTTTGGTTCTATTTTTAGATCGTACATACGATCTCACACATTGTTATGTATCAGTCATAAAATGCACAGAAGCAGAATGAAGCAAAGAAATTTTAAGAAGAAATGAAAAAACAGTCAGAAATAAAAATGATTAAATTTAAACTTCTTAGCTTGTAAGGAAAAAAAATGATACAGGTTACATGTATAGCTTTTACATAGGTATAGTATTCGCTTCAGAAATGTTCCACAGTATAGACATAATCAGTGATAATCGAACTATATATGCTATCTAACTTTCAAATATTTTCTGATAATTGCTGGTTAATTGGCTGCAATTGTGAAGTCTGACCTGTTGTTGGCAACCTTATATATACCTGTTAAAATTGTTCATGCATATCGCTGACATGGATATGATGCAATCAGTCAAGTTTAGAATTGGATTATACCAAATAATACACGTTCTTCTATAAATCTATTGCGTCCATTGGGATGCACATTTATTAAAATAATGCGTCCTGAGCAAAATTTGTGCATAATTTACGCAGGACGCACACCAAAATGAATCATTGATGAACACCATATTTTTTAGCGCAACATACAAAGAACTATGTAGCAACCTATGATCTACAGCACATGTAATTTTCATAATGCTAGCTCACATCATAAGGAATACATATATGACTAGCAGTGGTTTAAGTGTTTGCTTTAGAGTCACAGATAAAGGAGTTGATCCTAACATCACGGGTTCGAATCCCACTGCAGGATGTGGAGACCGGTGTTCAAATGAAACTGAGGTCCCACGTTGTAGTAGCTCACTGCTCAAGGGTCCTGAGTACAGAGTATTGGTTCTCAAGTGCTGGCTTTTCAATATGAGTGAAAAGTTATCGAAAGAAACGTCATAGAAACAAATAAATATGACTATAAATAAATTCTCTTTTCTTACCATTATGGATGTTGTACATGTCCCTTTCGATAATGAAAAAAATCTTTTTCTGTCAACTTCTCATTTTCTCACCCGCCTTTTTCTTGCTAATCTTCTCTCCAACATACTGGAGAAGGTATTCTCGCATGCTATGTGGTACCGATCACAGTCTATAATAAAAATAAATGCAAACAACAGCTGAACAAGTCAACAAAATCTAATTTATTCAGAGACTTGGTTTTATATGTCTCAGACTGTCATAAATCTCACCCTAAGCATCTTCGCTAGCCAAGGGTTTCTGATACGCTACTCTCCTTATAAACTTATGAGGAGAGTAGCGTATCAGAAACCCTTGGCTAGCGAAGATGCACCCTAGGCAGTTAAAATTTTCCTCAGAAATCTGGTCAGAATTTTAAAACATAATTTCAAATAGCCATTGTACAAAATGCAGGAAACTTTCCTGGAAAGTTTAGAAACTGAAACTGAAACTGTAAAAATATTATCATTAATCATACCATCAAACCATCCTTTACCATGTCCATGCTGATCAAAAGACTCAACAATGTATTAACTAACCCGATCAAAATTAAACTGAACCCGACCGAAAGTTTTTAATGTACATATGTACATATACAAGTAATACATGTAGACTCTGCACAACAATTTTATTAAAATAAAAAAAAATATTGCTTGTT